ATTTCCCCCGAAATTAATCTAAGCCGTACCATATGTTCAGCTAAATAGCTCTAACACCGAACAAGGCTCTGGCTCAGCTGCCACAGTTCGGTCACACCTTCCCAAAGTTCCAGCCTTGGTCCCATGTCCGCTAGCTCTATTCTCGGCCCCAGTGTCCGCCAACTCCAACCCCGTTCCCGTGTCCGCTCACACCGCCCGGCACCCCTGGCCGTGTCCCCCGTCGCCATAAACGCCGCACGACACCGCGATCACCGCGGCGACGGACGCTTTTTCGGCGACCTTTCTACGCCGCGCGCCGGCCGCCCCCCGTCGCCCGCGCCGCCGACCCCCAGAAATTACCATTTCTCATCGAGGAGGGCGATTTTTCACGCGCCGGTGGGGCTGGCTCTCTGTGTGTGACCCGCCCCGTAGCCAAGGTCGGCCCCAGCGGTGTGCCGGAAAAACGTCCCGCTGGTTTGAGCTGCCCGGCAGAGGCTACCCGGGGCGCAGAGCTGCCCCGACCGGGCACCGTCTGGTTTTTGTGGCACCTGACACGTTTGATATCCCACCTGGATATATTGAAACCCGCAGTTATGGCACCTCTACGACTGGTAGCAAAAACACGCACTAATTGGGAACAGTTCGGAGTGAATGCGTCTCAGTCACATTTATGACAATATCAAATGTGTTTGGTGGAGCTTGGGAAAGGAAGACGATTCTGTATGATAGCTAGGAAGGAGAAATATATAAATATGCTTAGGAAGATGCATCGGAAGATAAAGGAACATGTGTTTACGCAATAATTATGAAAGCATTTATGTAAAGCTCAGTTACCACCTACGATTAAAAACATAAGTACAGCCAATTTGAATATACTAAGAAGATCCAGTGAACACGATGAAAACATGAGCAATTATCGTTTAAGATAAAGGGTCATGTAACACGATAGGAGCTCAACGCTTTAATTCAAAGGTAAGCCGGTGGTTTGGATAAACCCAGACATGTTGGGTTACAGTGCCAAGTACGCATTTGCATACAGATCTGCCTGTTTATCTTGCCTTCCACCGAATTTGCCGATTTGGGAATCCGGGACTGCAACGACTGGACAGCAAATATCATCACAAAGAATTAAGATCGTGATAATCGCATTTAGAAAGTCGATTCATGACAGCTAAACACAAAAAGAGCCTTGTAACGCCGTGTAGGGGAGAGTGGGGCAAAGCGGCCACCCGGGGCAAAGCGGCCACCCATCGTTTTAGCCCTTCATAGCTGGCGTCAGTTCCAATTTATGGTTTCCAATTATACTTCTCTTCACGGTCGTTCGAATGAGCCAGACCGGGGTTTCAGGCCCATCACCAATGTTCTGTGAAACACGGAAAAGCATTTCTTGCCAGGTTACCAACTATGTTTACAATGTTAAAATGTTATGTTATTCCATAACCGTTTGGAATTTTTATAAGCGTTCTTGTCCATGCATTGCATTGTTATCGTACATGTACTCTACCAATTTTAATGTTTTTTACCCCACTAATAGCTAAGCTGGAATATTTTTGTCTCGGACGGTATGCGCGGGGCAAAGTGGCCGGGGCAAAGTGGCCACCCCCCAATTGGCCATAAGTTGCTTCCATCTGGATAAAAAACATTATTTATATTCAAATGTGTCGTCATGCATTCATCTTGGCCACTTTTCAGTTGCATGAGTTACCAAATAATGCAATTAAATGTTTATTTTCATGAAAATCCTTTCTTTGTTTACCTACAGGTGGAAGATGATAAAGTAAACATCCATCCTCGCTTAACCTTGTCACCATCAAATACCCTAGTCGTACACGAGGCAACTATTTTGTTTCTCATATCGGGACTTGAGAAGACGCCGGTGGCCGCTTTGCCCCAGGGCAAGGGGCAAAGTGGCCAATATGCATATGTTTAAAGTTTTGTCAATATCTTTCATATGTGAACGCCTTTGGAAATAAAACGCAGTTGAAATAAAAGGCAACTTAATAGGGATCACATTGGTATAGAAAGAATCTTTCCAAGTTTAAAAATCAAGCGTTGGCATCGTGAGAAGCGTTAGGGTGGCCGCTTTGCCCCACTCTCCCCTATTATTTGTAGGCTAACATGTATTTTATTTGTAGCCTAACAGGATGTCACAGTCGGCAGGTGTGGTAACCTTATCAAGAGACTGGATGCGCGTTTTTAATATATCATTTTACAAAGGTTTATACACGGACGTTTTCAAACAACACAATGGTATTATCTTATGAACATATCCGTTCTACTTACAATATACAACATTCATGCCTACATAGTTATATTTAGTCCAAACAAAGTAGCATGAGACTTCAAGGAATTATCCGGCAATAAGCCATGTTGAATTTGACGTTTTCATGGCGCAGTGGTATCATTTAAGCGGATAAGAAGGAGCGAGTATTGTTTCTATCGTCTGCATGTATAAACAAATACAGAAAGACCATCTGCTGGTGGTGAGGTAAATACATTCACTGTAAGGCTACGCTTGTAAAGCACTCAATTACATATACTTACTTTAAAATTTACACATAGAAACATTGCGCCCTTTCGTCAAATGTTGTGCATTCTACATTTGCATACATTCATGGATCCATTCACAAAGGAAGTCCCTAGCTTCTGGATAGGTAGGTGCTTACGTACTATGCTAGTCGGGAACAAAGGCTAATTTAGATATTCAGATCACGGTATATCGGTTTTATTGCATGAGAGACAAGTACCACTCCACTTCCTGAATTCCAGTTCATACAAATGGTCTCTACTTTCGGCAGTGCTGCACGCCAACAGGCACGGCCGGTGGCTTAGGTGCAACGTGTGGCACTTTTTCGGCAGCCGTTTATGCATACAAGGTCGTCCTTGCCACGACTTAGCAACATTTTATGATGTGACCGGAATGTCTTGTGAATGCAGGGGAAACCGTTAGGTCTGAATAAGCAAATGAACGTTGCTTCCTCATGGCCTTGCTGTGTTATGGCACGTCTGATAACAGAAAGGTGCGGTGCCTACCGTTTATAATTAACCAGAATATGTACGAATATTGCAGCTCTCATTGACAAGTCAGCAGATCAACTTAGAAGCCCGAGGTTTGGAAGCGGTGCAGTGGGTGAAACAGTGCCACACTGATTTGGTATAAAACATTGCGAAGATAGCAATCTTTGAAATCTTTGGAGCTGAAATATGGTGCGAGTTGCGACTTCAGCTCCATTTCAATTCAGGTCTCATAACAAAACAGCTCGTCTCATAATTGTGCTGAGTGTATTGCACTGAGTGGGCGAAAAATTACGCAGGTACGAAGAGTCAGGTCGGACGACCGATGCCTCGCTCACTGCTCAAGCCACCTACATCCCTACCATCTAGCGGTCGACCGGCGAACTAAGCAGAAAGTCTCATGCAGAGGGCAGCACAGTACAGTGGAAGCTCGATCTCGGGAACATCGAACATGGACATGGACGGTGGGCGGTGAGAATACTAGACAACAAAATTGGACCAAAACCAGAATACATGCACCTATCCGTGCTTCTATCCTCAGGATACTGAAATCCTTCTCCTCCACGCCACAACCCCCTTCCGGGCTGGACAGGCAATTTTATCTCATGCGGGCTGCTCCCTTGGAGCGGCACCGCTGCTCCCGAGGGAGCTGCACCCCGTAGCCGGGTGCAGAGAGTGCTTGGGGGGCTGGTCGGCCTGTCCTATGGACGGGCTCAGCCCCGGCGACTCTCTAGGGTGCCTGCCCAGACCAATGTCTCCCCCTAATTCCTATCATCCTTCCGGCTCTGCAATGGTCTTGTCGACCGAAAGGGCCTAACCCAACAAAACAAACAAACAAACAAACAAACAAGAATACATGCGCATGCCTTAGGTATCCCAGACTGTGGCCTGTTCCGATGCACTTCAAATAAAAAATCATCGCAAATGACGCGAATATAGTACCTAATGTTCGAGGTTTTGTCATCAATGGCCTATGAAAGACGTGTACCAAGTTAGGCGTTTTCTAAGGTTTTTTTTAGCAATCGTTTCAGCCAGAATACGTTCAATAATCACATAGGTTTCGCACAATAATCATACGACGGGAAAAGTTAAATGAGTGCCTCAAATAAATCCACCTATATTTTCCTTTTTTAATAAGATCTCAGTCCGAACTGAGCAGTCAACGCCGCTCACAGCGGTGCTGGCCGTGACATTATGATCCCATTCTCCTGCCACGCATCTCCAGCGACGATCTCACGCGGTTATGCGTTGGTTCGGCCCACACTGCGCCGCGTGCGCCGCTGGGCTGCTTGGAAAACATTGGATGGCGGTCACCCAACAACCAAAACCGAACCGGCGCCGAACCAAAGGCCGCCGCCGTGGTCCTCAACGGTGGTCAACATTCAAATCCGACGCACCGAGCGCGACAGCGGGGATCGGGGTATTATTTGGGATATTGTCCTAGCACTTCTGGCTCTGCGATTCGTCTACCGATCCTTCCGCGCACAAGCATTCTTCTCTTTGCGACAGCTTACAGAGAAACCGTTTAGCCCACATGCCAATCTTGAGTATTTTGTAATTTGGGTTTTCATCTACCGCACATCTGGATCAACAACCTGATTTCACCGGCACTATAGCGAGCTGAAATTTCAGCAGTGTCACTGTGTCAGCGGAGTCCGGGCGAGGCCCGTTCCTGTATGTACGTGAGCCCGGTGTCAGTGATGTCACCCTCCCCCACCCGTCAGTGACCTGTCAGCGGACTGTTTGCCCATTTACAGCGTCAACACTGGACTTCTGTGACGCCGTCGTAGCTGCACAGACACCGCGAGGGACACTGCACAGGACTCCAGCGCCGATTCGTGACAAATTTGTCTGTCGGTTATACAAATACACTCAACACAAATTCGGAGTTATACATTATACCAAGAGTGAAAACTAATGATCACGATCATTCCTTCCTTAGAAATGGCAGCTGAATATTGCGATGCCGCTCCATTCGTACGCTGTAACCGCAGACCAAAAGCTGTTCGCAGGCTGAGCCAACCTGACGACTATCCGCTCGCGCCGCTGGCAAATTCGCCGAACACATGAGATGAAGACGCGACCGGGCCGCCCCGACCGGTCATAAAGGTCACATGGATGACCCCGGGCGTGAGTGAGAACGGCACTATTCGGGCGCGGCGCTGGCCGGCCCACGCCGACCGCCCGCGGGTGCAATCATACGAGTGGGCGCAGCTCAGTCAACGCGACTCCATTCAATCACGGACGCGACTCCAGTCAATCACAGACGCAGTTCAGTCAATCATAGACGCAGTTCAGTCAAGGCGGCTTCAGTCAGCGCCACTCAATTCAATCACAGACGCAGCAGTTCAGTTAGTCAGGTGCAGTTCAGTCTATGCGACTCCATTCAGTCACAGACGCAGTTCAGTCCGTCATGACAGTGAATCAGCCGCGGGGCCTGTATGCACTACCGCCCAGAGCCAGGCAGGTTGAGCAAGTAGACGTGGCAAAAGTTTGCTGGCTAGTGTCCGATGAGAGAAAATGATGCCAGTTATAATAAAAAAGGCATTCCAAGGCTCAAGCGCGTAACCGTTTTGAACTAATTTTGATAAGGGGTGCATGACAATGTCGATTCGTAGTCTTGCTCGTCATCTTCATGCAATACAATTTTGACGACACTTGCAATATTCTCGAATGCATAAGAAAAAGTTGCCAGATTTATACGATAAACAGTAAACACTGTATTTTTCCGTGGTCCCATCTGGTCTCAAGGCCGGCTCCTCCCGTCGTTTATGCTCGTATACCGCTCAATGCTGGCGTATTTTCCAGAGGGCTGTTTTGATACAAACACTGAATTCCTCATCCATACCCACAACTCGGTCAGAAAACATCCAGAAATATGTTTACGAACTACGAGCGCTGCATAAACGAGACAAGCCGGCGGCGTGATCAAAATATTAGCTGAATAACAGAGGGACGCGGATATAGACTGTAAGCAACAGGCAGTGTCTCAAGCCGCCATATACTGAAATCACGAGACGGGAATGAATTTCTACGGCATATCGAAATACTGGTGCGAGTGGATATGACACGTAAATAATACATGAATCTGTTCTACTCATGCAACGGGTACTCACATTGGGTTGGTGGCGTTCCAGAAGACCTGGATGCGTCGCGCGTGACACTGACGGACCAGAAGATGAAGCACCAGCAGGCCCCACAGGGCCAACTCGGGGAGTTGCATCGCGGCAGGACGCTCACTGACGGGGCGCCATGGAAGCTGCAACAGCCGGAGACGGACAGTCATAAGCGGCAGGATGGTTTTAGAAAGAGCGCGTCACGACAGCGGCAACAGGAGGGGAGAAATGTTCATAAACGCTAGCTTTATTTATAGGGAAAAGACAATATTCGCACAGCGTCCGAGGTCAGAGACACAACAGCCCGAAACAAATGAATCCTGGAACGGGATTTCATAAGGCTGTTTATGAAAGGATAGATGGAAAAATAAGCTGTTGAAAAAAATGTTACTTTATTCATCTAAATGTTTAATATGTTTCAGCAGCCAAAAGGCAACTTGCGCAAAGCAAGCGGCCACGTTGGTTCAAAGGTCAACCGTTCTGTTTGTATGTGAACTTGTTTTCGTGGTGCATTTCTCTGAATGAATGAATGAATGGAATGAATTAATTCCTAAATTAGTAAGCAAGGGCCTTGACAGTCAGCCTTCCGAAATGAACGAACATGCAGTGCAGCAGCTCTGCACGCGCTTCATTCCCATGAGTGGGCGGCCGGCGGCCGGGCCCGAGGGCAGCACCCACCAGTAGCGGCGGCCGAGGTGCTGACATTTGGCCACAAATAGAGCGCCCGGCACGCCAGGCCACTAATGAGTGCATACCACTGACGGGAGCGGCCGCGGCCCGCCACCGCACCGGCGGACGGACAGATTGACCGTCCCGTTATGGACAGACTGGCGGGCGCCGGGGAATGGCCAGCCGGCCCGGACAGAGGACGCTGTGTTGATATTTCCGTTCATAGATGGCGCCACCAGTGTGCGCCTGAAGGTATGCTGTGCCGCCCGACACCGTGCGCACATACGGCCGACCGAGTGGTGTGCGGAACGCGGCGGAAGGAACGACAAACTGACGAACGACCGTGCTTTGGATATTTTGAAATGTTCAAATGAGAGTTTAGGAAATTGTAAATATTTACTTTCCATGAAGACAAAATGCATTTATAATTGGTTATCTTATTTTTAACGGAAGACACCAAGAAAGGACGCACACCATCACATTCAGCGAAACAGCCATGAACACGAGCGCCTATCTGGCTGTCTGCAGAGATCTGGGTTAGAGCGCTCAGTAGCGCTGCATTTGATGCGCCGGCGAGTCCGAGCCACTGACTATACCCGCTGGTGGACACCGGAGGCCGGCCAGCCGAGGGCCATTACCGGAGCCGCTCCAGTGTTATCTGCCGCCAGACCGGCTGCATGGGACCGTGGAGGCCATCGTCGTACGGTGCCGTCGTTACACGGCACACATAGCAGCTCACGGCTCTTAGCTCCGGTCGGCGAGCGGCCGGCGGCACTTAGCAGCTCGGCAACGGCCCCGGAGCTGAACGGCAGAGTCGACGGGGTCATCGGAGTAGCCCGGTAAACCGTGGCGAGGGTAAACACTAAAAGGTAGGTGTCGGCTGTCAGTGAATGCTAGTTGGGTTCATGGACTACGAACAACCTATGCGACAAAATTATCCATTTATATTTTAGATTGCTACAGGATGGATTGGCCGTTTTCACGACGGCCATCTGGTACACATCTGGTGCACATTTGGTACAGATTAGGTGCAGATTTGGTCAAATCAGGTTCAGTGTGTCTCTTACTAGCTATCAGCTAGGGTTGCACTAATTGTTTGCTAGGGTTGCACTAATTGTTTATATGCCGGCTTTGTCATATTATCAAAAAGTATCATCGATTAAAGGTAGTGTGCCACCTTTGAAAGATTTCCCATTTTATTTTTCCTAGGATAAGAAGCTTCTGTTTTTACCTAATATCGCAAAAAAAATCAAAAATGGGCCTGGAATAGTGCCTTTTTCGCCTAAAAGTTTATCGGTTTTTAGATATGTATAACAACTGTAGTGGGCTCACCTGCAAACAGGCGTCGGGCAACAATCGCGAATGCGGCGCACTTGTGACAATAAGCAAAGGTCATTATAGTGTTACGACCATACGACATACGGGAATGAGTTATCAGCTGTCTAATCGTAGACAACACAATGTCGAGCCTTAAACTGTAAGCCCGTATTGGTATTGTTTCTTTTATTTGGCTGTCGAACATTATTTATGGTTTGAAATATGATTTTATGTAAAATAATTGATATGAAAAAGCCGTCTTATAAGTTATGACCCCATTTCACCACACGCAAGTGGCTGAAATGACAATGATCAGCTGACGCATTTTTCTTGGCCTTAGTCAGAGCGCGCAGCCCGACGCACCACCACCGCACCACAAAGTATGAGCAGAAGCCGCGCCCAAAGCCAGGGCCCCGGTTGTTAAAGCCGAGTATCTTTTTATGTTGGCTGCAAAATGGATCTTAATCTGTCGAGTTTTTCTTCTGTTGGCAGGTATCTTATGTTAACGGCACATGTCTTATATATATATTTTTAGCGTTTGTCTCGTGAAGTCAGATTTAATTTGCTGATTCAATTGTTGTTTCGTTGGCCAGAGATTATGTTATTTTTCTATAGGTTTTGGTATCGCTTTTTTGTCATTTTTATGTTTTATGCTTTTGCGTCCGTTTACAAAATCACCAAAGGACAGTGAGCGGGTGAGCGGCGCGAAGCGGAACGAACGAACCTGAACGAACGAACGAACCTGTACGAACGAACGAACCTGTACGAACGAACGAACTTATACGAACGAACGAACTTATACGAACGCCAACGAACGAACGTTAAATCGGCGGTGTCAAGTTCTTGCCGGTGGCTGCAGACCTGAAACAATCCGTGAGTTTTCTTTGCGTTTATGTGTTTGTGTGCTATGTGTTTCGTTTTATTTGGTTACTACTTCTATCGTACTTATATTTGGTTACGTCTTATATCGCTACTGACTGTCTTTTTTAATTGTCATACTTATGGACCTGTTGGTGTTTTGTTTCTTGCAGAAAACCGTTTTTAAATACAATGAGTATTGGATCCTGAGGCTCCACCGGTAAAGGTTTTGGATTGGTTTGGTATCGTCTTACTCCGGAAATTAAGAAATCAAGTTGAATCCAATGTTCGTCAGTACGAAAACTGCAAGAAGAATCAACAAGGTGGATTAATTCGATTCTGATCTGTGTGAGAGGCACAGTAAGTTCTGCAAGACCTTCAAATCTATCATCCCAAAATCTAAGGTACAGTGACTTCATATTATATTCTTCGGCGTTCTTCAGCAACCTCACGGCTGTCTTCTGGAACCTGCTGGGTAGGGGTTCGGGCTTCTGTTGTTGGGTCAGCTTAGGCCTCTGTCTGTTGTTGAGCTGGTTTGATTTTCTGTTGTTAACGAATACGATTACGAATTGCGCATTGCGACATAGGGCGAGTAGTGCTACTAAGTACTAACTGATCGGTAGTAAACGAACTTATATGTATGTACACAAGATCGAACAAGATCACGTATTGCTTGATGTTGAGGTCTTGTAATTTCGTTTAACTGAACTTTTAGTAGGTAATTTGCGTGACATGTAATCACGTTCTCACTGTCCTTTTATCCCTTTAGCCCAACCTTTTGTTATTGTTTTTTTGTTTTTACGTTTTGTTTTTTCATAATTGCTTTATTCTTAATTCCTTTATTCTCTTTGTCTTGTTATTTTTAACATATTATTAGCACTTATCGGCTAGCCATCTATCGTTTACTATTTCACCATATTTGGCTTAGCATCCATTTTGCAAGTCAGCATACACTGCTACCCGGTGCTATACACCCAACTTTTAAACATGTCGGGAAATTTCAACAATATAACTCGGGGGCAGTTGCGAATACTGCTTGATAAGATGGGACAGGATACACAAGGGACAAAATCTGTTTTGATTGAGAGACTTCAAACTTGCCTAAAGGAAGATAATTCTGCATGCCGCTCAAATAGCCCAGTCGTGCCTTTACAACCGGACGCTGATGACGTGCCAAGGCTTAGCACAAGATCACCATTAAAACCTCCCGATATTTCTGGCCTCGAGGCAGCACGTATTCATTGGGAAGTAAGTTCACAAGCTTCGGCCTCGTCTTCGATAGTCTCCGAAAGAGTACGCCGTGCAGGACTACAGGCTAGGGCATCATATTTAGAGCAGAAACATTTGCTAGATCGCCAAGCGCAGGAACTTAAGGCTAGGCAGGAGATGTTGGAGTTGAAAATGCAAATTGGGGAAGTCAGTGCGAGGGAAGCAGCGTTAGAAAGGGAGGAGGAAGGAATTGCAATGGGTTTTCAGGAAACTGAACGTGATGACGCCGCGTTTCGGGATAACGCGCCAAACATGCAATATGTTTCTCATTCTCCCTCAGCTCATTCGCCCTCAGCAACTAGGGACCACTTAGAGGACGTTCATGCCTCACAGTCAACCCAATCGAACGTGCGTAGCGACATAAATCCTTCTTATGACCTGGCTAGACGACTCCATCTTCCTCCTTTGGAGATTTCAACGTTTGATGGAGATTTAAGTAAATATAAATGTTTCATGCGGGCTTTTAAGTCAAATATTGCTACAAAGGTAGATGATGAAGATGAAAAATTGCATTATTTATACCAATAGGTACACTTCCGGACGACCAAGGGAGATTGTCTCCACATGCTTACACCTGCCACCAACGAGAGGGTTCGTGGAAGCGGTAAGTTTGCTGGATAAACGTTACGGGTGTCCGTTTCAGGTGGCGTCGGGTCTGGTCGATACCCTGATACAATGCCCCGCGGTGAGGCTCGATGACGTCCAGGGATTAGAAACGTTTGCTATTCAGTTGAGGGGAACCATGAATGCCTTGTTAAGCCTCCCATGCGGAACGGATTCAGTCGACATCAAAACCGTCCGTTTGCTCTTAGACAAACTGCCTTCGTTTTTTAAGGATAAATGGCGGATCAAAGTCGATGATATTGAACAAACAGAGCAGCGAAAATCAGACTTTAGAGACTTTGTTTACTTCATTGAAAGGGAGGCGCGCATTGCATCCAACCCGTCATATGGGAGACATTTAACAAATGTAACGAAAAATTACCAAGATAGAAAACATGAAAGCAAATATCACGCGAGAGGGACACTTTTAGCCGGTAACGTCAGCTCTCATCACTCCTCGTGTCTTTATTGTCAGCAGGATCATGAAGTCGCCGAGTGTCCCGAGTTGAGAATGCAGAGCAGAGATGTCAAAATGACGTTTATACGGTCAAATAAGCTTTGCTTTGGTTGTTTGTTACCGAATCATTTAAGCAAATATTGTGAAAATAAAAAGATTTGTACAGAATGTGGGAGTCGGCACCCAACTATCCTTCATTTTGACCGAAAACAAACTCCACTCTCAACAGTCACTTTGGGCCATCTTGCATCAAGTGGAGGAGCAAAATTGCAAGTCGTACCAGTGTGTGTTACGTTATTCGGGGTGACGAAGTTCACGTCTGCCTTTTTGGACTCCGGCAGCACACATTCGTTCATTTCAAGAAATTTACTCGCTAGTTTAGGGGTTGAACCAGCCGAAAGTACTTCAATTACTCTTTCTACTATCAACACAGATCACAAATTTGAAACATGCGTTGTTTCGAAGGTTACCATGGAGGATTTACAACACAACAATAAATTAGAACTTCCTCCGTTATTTGTTCTAAATAAGATCCCAGTGTCCATCGAGGATGCCCCGAACGTTAGAGATTTAAACAAATGGCCGTACTTGAGACAAAACGGGGTATACTTAGAAGAAAACTTTAAGCACGACGTAGGCCTTCTACTTGGGAATAATGTGGCGGCGGTGATGGAGCCGTTTGAGGTGGTTCCCAGTCAGAACGGCGGGCCATTCGCCGTGAGAACCAGGTTCGGATGGGTCCTAGGTGGGGTTGATAAGGATTCTCCAGTTCGTCTGAAAGTTAACCAATTGCAAGTGGCTCTTGACGACGTTTATGGTAATAGGGCTGAATATCGGTTGGGTCTGTCCGCAGAAGACATTAGGTGGCACGAAATGGTAAAGGCATCGTGCCAGCTGATAGATGGTCGGTACGAAATAGCCCTGCCGTTTCGTGATCCAAGTCTTAAACTTCCAAACAATAAGTCTGTGGCTTATAGGCGCCTTGTGCAACTGAAGCGCAGATTCGAGAATCAGCCCCATTTCTTGAGAGAATATGCCAAGCAAATTGATAAACTGTTAGACAACGGCTACGCTGAAAGAGCTCCCGATCTCTCGAGCAATGCAGAAGGTAGGATATGGTTTGTGCCCCATCACGGAGTCGAACACCCTGTTAAGAAAGGCAAATTACGCGTTGTTTTTGACTGCGCTAGCTCCTTTCAAGGAAAAAGTCTAAATGAGGAGCTTTTACAAGGACCTGACCTTACCAACACCCTGACAGATGTTCTACTTCGTTTCCGACAAGAACCCGTTGCCTTCATGGCGGACGTCGAGGGTATGTTCTTACAGGTGAGGATTCCCGAGAAACAACGTGATTTTTTTGCGTTTCCTATGGTGGCCCAATGGAAACATCGCCTCGAATCCTAAGGAATATAGGATGACAGTTCATCTTTTTGGCGCTGTTTCCTCTCCTAGCTGTGCAAATTTTGCGCTTCGTCGCACCGCTCTAGACAATGAACGGTTGTACGACCCATTGGTGTCTAGGACAGTTCTTAATAACTTTTATGTGGATGATTGTCTTGCATCGACTGGAAAAGAAGATGTTGCTGTGAAGCTGGCATCTGATCTTAAGCAATTGTGTCTGAGAGGTGGATTTAATCTCACCAAGTTTGTTAGCAATAGCGTTACAGTTTTGAAATCCATTCCAGAAGTTGACTACTCGCCCGGTATCCAAACACTAGATTTGAAATCAGATACTTTGCCTTCTGAGCGAGCCTTAGGCGTTGGCTGGAACGTTCGTTCTGATCGCTTAGAATATCAAGTTGACTTGCAAAAATTTCGGGGCAAGCCTGTCACAAGACGAGGGCTTCTGTCCGCCACAGCAGGTCTTTATGATCCACTGGGGCATGTTGGTCCGTATGTAATGCGGGCCCGAATGCTCTTACAAGAGCTGACTCGCCTTCGTTTAGGTTGGGACGATGAGGTGCCATCCCACTACCACAGACAGTGGAAGCAATGGTTAGCAGATCTAGAATGTCTATCCCAGTATAGTCTTCCCAGGTGCATATGTTTCGGTGGCCTTTCCTCTGCCGTCCTCCTCGAGCTGCATCACTTTTCGGATGCCAGCGAAAGGGGGTACGGGGTGGCCTCGTACGTGCGAGCCGTCAATGGAGACGGTCAACTGTCTTGCAATCTTTTGGTCAGCAAATCCCATTTAGCACCAATTAAGCCTCTCAGTATCCCAAGGCTGGAGCTTTCTGCTGCAACACTAGCTGTCAAAGTCAATTTAGAAATACAAAGAGCGTTTCCATTCGATTTTAAGCCAGACATCTTCTTCTGGACTGATAGCACTACAGTGTTGAAATATATACAGAATGAGGCAGCGCGATTTCATGTGTTCGTGGCAAATCGTTTGGCAGTTATACGAGACGGCTCTTCAATAGACCAATGGCGATGGGTTCCTTCGGAGTTAAACCCAGCCGACATTTTGTCACGCGGGTGCGATGGAACTACCCTTCTCAAAGAGTGTATGTGGCGTCAAGGTCCATCGTTTCTACTTGAATCACGGGAGAAATGGCCCCGATTCCCTGTCTTAGAAGATAATGCAGAGGACCCTGAACTAAGAGTGACCACTGTTGCATTAAACAGCCGAACAGAAAATGAAACAAAGATTCAAAAGAATTCGAGCATTCAAAAATTGATTGATCATTATTCCTCGTGGCAGCGTTTGAAGAGAGCAGTTGCGTGGGTACGACGCGTTATAGACACATTGGCTGGTAAACAGAAATCAGCACGAGCATCAGAGCTGACTGTAACAGAGCTAAAGTCAGCCGAGAATATTATCATCAGGGAACTTCAGGGTCAGTACTATGCGGAGGAGGTAGAGAATCTGAAAGCAGGACGGGAAGTGCGGCGGTCCAGCAGCCTTGTGTCTTTGGACCCCACGTTGGAGGATGGTCTTCTGAGAGTAGGAGGTCGTTTAGGGCACGCGATGGGCGTGGCCTATGAAAGTAAACATCCTTTGATCATTCCAAATAAAGGGCGAATTCCGGAATTAATCATACGGGATATTCACGAGAGGATTGGCCATGCAGGTCGTCAATGTGTCCTGGCGGAATTGCGTAAGAGCTTTTGGCTAATCAAAGCCAATACGGCGGTTAGGAGATGTCTCCACCAATGCCTCCGCTGCCGCAGGCTTTTTCGTACTACGGAGACGCAAAAAATGGCTGATTTGCCTGCAGATCGAATACAGCAAAGTGAGCAGCCATGGGTGAGTACCGGGGTAGATTATTTTGGACCATTCTATACCAAGAGAGGGCGTGGGCAGGTCAAACGTTACGGTGTCATTTTTACATGCTTGGCCATTCGCGCCGTCCACCTGGAAGTAGTCGAAATTTTGTCGTCTGACTCTTTTATATGCGCCCTCAAGCGCTTCGCGGCCAGGCGGGGCTCACAAATAAGAATCATGCGTTCTGACAACGGGACAAATTTTGTGGGAGCGGATCGTGAGCTGAAAAAAGAGCTCGAGTTTCTTGTTCAGCATGAGGCCCAAATTCGGAGAGACTTGATAAATCGAGGTATTGAATGGCGTTGGAACCCCCCTGGTGCCTCTCACTTCGGAGGCGCATGGGAGCGATTGATTAGGAGTGTTCGTAAGATACTGAGCGGTTTACTCAGGGAGCAAACATTTACTGACGAAACACTAACCACATTCCTTTGTGAAGTGGAAAGCATTATGAATAATCGACCCTTGGTACCAGTGACAAGTGACCCTCGAGACGACCTGCCGCTAACGCCCAATCACTTGCTGCATTTACGTTCTGTTTTGCTACCAGCCTCAATGGTGACAGATATAGATGCGTTTAGCAAAAAGAACTGGAAACGAGCATCGTTCCTTGCAGAGCAGTTTTGGCGACGTTGGCGTGCGGAATATCTCCCATTACTTCAGCCAAGGGCCAAGTGGTCAAGGCTCCAGACAAATTTGCAGGTAGGCGATGTGGTGCTTATTGTTGACAGTTCAGTCCCGCGGGGTGTGTGGCCTCTTGGCTTGATAGAAGAGGTCAGAACAAGCACTGACTCGAGGGTACGATCCGTCAAAATCCGGTGTAAAGGTACCACGATTTGGCGGCCTGTTCAAAAGCTAGTTAAAATCACGGAAAGTTAAAAATCTCTCAATCTGAATAAATTTGATCCCATAGTATCAAATGGGCCGGGTGTTAAAGCCGAGTATCTTTTTATGTTGGCTGCAAAATGGATCTTAATCTGTCGAGTTTTTCTTCTGTTGGCAGGTATCTTATGTTAACGGCACATGTCTTATATATATATTTTTAGCGTTTGTCTCGTGAAGTCAGATTTAATTTGCTGATTCAATTGTTGTTTCGTTGGCCAGAGATTATGTTATTTTTCTATAGGTTTTGGTATCGCTTTTTTGTCATTTTTATGTTTTATGCTTTTGCGTCCGTTTACAAAATCACCAAAGGACAGTGAGCGGGTGAGCGGCGCGAAGCGGAACGAACGAACCTGAACGAACGAACGAACCTGTACGAACGAACGAACCTGTACGAACGAACGAACTTATACGAACGAACGAACTTATACGAACGCCAACGAACGAACGTTAAATCGGCGGTGTCAAGTTCTTGCCGGTGGCTGCAGACCTGAAACAATCCGTGAGTTTTCTTTGCGTTTATGTGTTTGTGTGCTATGTGTTTCGTTTTATTTGGTTACTACTTCTATCGTACTTATATTTGGTTACGTCTTATATCGCTACTGACTGTCTTTTTTAATTGTCATACTTATGGACCTGTTGGTGTTTTGTTTCTTGCAGAAAACCGTTTTTAAATACAATGAGTATTGGATCCTGAGGCTCCACCGGTAAAACCGGTAACGTGAGGTAGCCGAGTCAGGGCAGCGTGCGCTGACCCAAGCCGGGGCCGCAGCTTTGGGCGCGGTCTACCGCATCCCTGCGGGCAGCCCCGGGCTATCACATGACACCGGGAGGACGCGCGGCTCCGGCTTGGGTCAGCGCACGCTGCCCTGACTCGGCTACCTCACGTTACCGGGGCCCTGGCTTTGGGCGTGGTCTACCGCACCACCTAACAGGCGTGTTCGAAACCGCAGGAGCTGATGATGAACGGGTTTATCGAAACTTGATTGGATGAGCATATCGGTAATAGCGATTTCAGCGTGTGCATTTATTGTTCATAGTGGTGTGAAATGTGGTTGGGGTACGACCGACAACCCGTCGGGGCGAATTTCGCACTGGGGTACTCAAAATTTGAAGAATTTAAGACGTTTCCATGAGTTTTGAAGGTATGGATAAGTTCTAAAAATCCGGTTCTCCTTATCTGGGCCATTAACTCCATACGGTCCAGGAAAGCTGGCACACTACCTTTAAAACACTGAAATAAATTCATAAAATACAGATATTTGCTGTAAAAGAGATTAGGTGCAGATTTGGTCAAATTAGGTCAGGTGCACTCGCCGGATAGCTCGTCGTGAAAACGATCATTATAAAATGTTATACCTTTGCATACATGAGGCAAGGTATTCATTGACACAGAGGTCTATGAATAGACACAGAGGTCTATGAATACGCAAAAATAGTATTTCGGTGGCAACAAGTCGCACATGGCCAAAACTAAACTTAGCTGTTCTCATTCAATGAACATGGCGTCGCGCCCACGCGGCTCTGCTCGGCGGCATTGTCAGGTCGCATTACGGCCGCCCGGCCGGGGGGATTGTCAGGGCCCGCGGTGGCGGCGGCAGTGCTCTGATGAGATTATCGGTGGCGGCGGCGGAGCCCGCCCGCCCACTCTGCCCGTCTCCAGAGCGGCGCCGGCGAATTGTGAACACAGCTATCCTGGTGAACTGGCCCCATTCATACCATGACTAGGTCGCCACAAAACCGACGAAAGAACCGCGGCGACCGCACGCTACCGCCACCCACAGAGCTGAACGTCAGAGTAACTTATCACACAGACATACAAACGGCGGGCACGCCACCAGCAGCCATATTGGCACGACATCCGTGCGCACCCAACCGAGACAAATTAAAACGGCCCGCTTTGTTCAGCTAGTTTTAACCGCTCCCGGCTCAAACTTTGATATTACCTATCACACGGTGTCAGAAGCAAGCATCGTTCATCCGGCGGGGCCAACACGCGGCCACCGACGCGGAAATTCCCCAGAAGCGGCGAGCGGCCAAATCTGATGGCAGGATCTTCCTCCAGACTCAGATGAGTGAGATCAGAATTGTGAAATTAACTAAGGAAAAAATAATACACACTTTTCTCCTAATTTATAAAAAATTATCGATGCAAATGGTCAAAAATTCCATTTGCCACATGAATGTTATCATGTCATGGTCAATGGTCATCTTCCTGGTTGTTACCGTCAATTTGCAGCATGGAAAATTAAGTTGCGAGTCAGGTTTTTCGTCATACTTTACATTCAATATCTCCTGAGAATTAAACATCTTCTTCGTTATTTAACTGCTCGAATCAAATCACCTGCATATTTGAGTCAAGGATTGGTTTGAGAGCAACGCAAAAATATTTAAATAAGATAAAATGAACTCAGGAAGATGCCGAAAAGCAAAACGTTTACCGATGAAAGTTGCATGCATTTTAGTAAGCATTTATCATGTGCTTTACACCACACTTATTTTTAACAGTTTTCAACGGCCCGTCAAAAACATTTCACCAAAAACTCCGTAGCACCTTTTCAATAGTGACCATCAAAACCGCTTTGTTTCCTCTCAACAGCTGGATGACAAAAATTGAGCGGATTGGTTCGACCCTCTTCTTTCCCTTTCCCATAAACCTGTTCGATCGTCACTGTGCTTCTAACAGGAGTGTAATCTCCTTCTGGCACGACCATCGGCATTTCACGACTCAGCAATCCCCCTACCGAGGCGAAACAATTTCACCAGAGAAGGGGAAGAACAACGAACAATTAATACCTCCGAGACCCCCCAAAAATCATTCACTTCAAAATGAAGAGTAATTCGTGTTTAATGACTGCGAGGTTAATAGGCTATGTTGCAATCTAAATACGCCAAAACCACAAAATTTTGACATCTTCGATGGTGATTATTAGGCGTTGATATTTGAAATCAAAATGTCTTGCATGAATGTTGACAGCGTGGGTTATCAGCTGAAACATGTGACGGCATTTAACTGCTTGAGAAGGATTCGGTTTAGTCGTAAAATGCTCATCTTTAGCGAGCCATAAAACGCCGCTTAACGACTGAGAACATTGACGTACGACTAACTAAATTTCATCCCAAATCATCCTAATGGCCGTTAACCTCAGTTACCGACTCCTTTTAACGCAGTCTTCGCACAAGCGTTTCGTTTGCATTTTCTTGCTGCAGCCTCATGAAAGCGGAACAAGAAATTTCATGGCATAACCTTTAGCGGGAGAGCTAAAATATGCTGATCTGACCCGACCGAGCTGTTTCATACTCGACCAGTCCTAAATCGGACACGGATATTCTGCGGATGGGTTCCAGTCCATCTTTTCTGACGATGGGTTGGATATTTCGGCGTCCATCGCAGTAGACGTCTCTTTGCCTATGGCCCGACGAGGTAATATTACGGCCTTACCGACCAATCCGGTCGAACTGGAGAACAGCGGTTGGGATCGTGGCCCAGAAGGATACCACATCGTTTCGCAGAACAGCTGTATGTGAGGACCATGCATGAGAACTGACGATAGATAGCTTTAGGAATAAAAGTGCACGTGAAAGGAGCCATGTGATAGTTTTTGCGCATTCATTGCTCACAGTGTGTACTATGTAGTGTGTAAGCAGAATATGAGTGCGTGCATTCAGAGAGTGACTGCATCTCTTGGCCCTGGTTGCTTTCAAACTGCTAGCTTTCTCACTGCTCAAGCATGGTTACAGGGCTAACCAAATAAAGCCAAACCTAAGGCTGCAAGAGCTGGGATGCTATAACTTAAGTATTTTAATTACACTGTTCTAGTCTGTCACCGAGTTACATTCATTTCAACATAAAATATTGACTTTGAATGCAAAACCAATCAACAATGAAACACCAGCATCACTTTAGTATTCCGATCATAGCTTTTGCAAACTAGAGCTCATGCCTTACTGTCGACTTGATGTACGACTCTAACGGAAAGAGATTACTCCTTGAAGCTGTATTCAACTTCGTAGCGGTAAATAAATGAATAAAACAAATAGCGGAACAAAGCAAACCAACTACTGCCACTAGGCCTCCAGAGTTCCCGAGCAAACGCCGTTAAAACGTGTGCTCTGCTGGATGTGAGCCGCTCTCTCCCCCGTATCACCTTTGGTACGCCTTTCCAGCACTCGTAGCAGCAGCATCAGACTGCCAAACCACGCTCAGTAGCTCGGCCAAAACAATCGTGAGCGGCTTTAAAGGCCGGTAACACCGTCCAACCGCCCATTAAAGACCGTCTGCTCTGGAGACTCGGCTCAAACTGCCCAGCCAAGCTGCCGTGCTGGGTGCTGTGGCGATCCCGAGGACCATTACGGGGCCACGCCGGCCGGACCAACGGACCACACTGGACCACACTGGGCCGTGCCGGTCTCACGCTGGACCAACCGCAGACCCATCCCCACCTCCAGGGAGGCACCGCGTGCTGAGGTCGGGTCACAGACGAAAAAACAGGCGGCCAGGACCGGTCAGCCCGGCGCCGCCCCTGTCACTACAGACTGACACCGAGCAGCCGCCGTGCGCCCGGCAGGCGAACCTGTTTTGGCAATCAGGTTTTTACGGCGTCAGTGAGGCCGCATGCGCTCCTGGTGATGCTCAGGAAAAACATACAGATGGTGGTTTACATAATGTTATCGCCACTTGGGCGCTGAGGCAATGAAATCATTCGTTAGTCGTCACTCTTAAATCATTTGATAGTTTTGTTTGTTTTTTATAGTATATCCTCAGCACGCACGTCAGTCACCCCAATTGAACTAAGAAGTCTGGAGCTAGCCCACTTTGCATCGTGACCAAGTACATACATAGAACTGCTGAGTAGCCCCTACTCCGAATGGCCTCTAACAATCAAAACACTTAAAAACACATCAGCTCTAGTTTAAGGTGACAGCTCTAACACACGGAGCAATGTCTTCAACCCTAACATGTTCGTCACAGTCAATTGATGCAACTTGAATGAATAGACAGAACACGAGTCAGCGTTATTAAACAAATGTAGATGGTCGGCCAAGCGAAGCACTAACAAATAGTTAGCAAAGCCCCTTCCTGAACGTTTCAAACCCAAAAGGATGCGTTACTGTTAAGTTGAAAGTATATCCCATTTACCTTCTGCATTTAACGTGCACTAAAAGCCTTAAGGCTGTGGTTATATACATGGATAAGTAAAACAGCCTGATGATAATCAGATTCGCTTGATGTGAAACTAAAGCATCATATGCAGAAAGCAAGTTTTATTATGCCGCTATTCAAGTGGGACGATTCAATAGGAGATCCCACTAATGACCATGATGACAAGCTACCAAAGATATCGCAGAAGTGGCTGTCCAACTTCAGGAAGAATATTGACATCAGCTGTCTCGGTCGACGCGGAGCTCGCGGGCCAAATTGGGAAATATCTTTGAACTAGATGGTTCTTAACGAGCCATTGATCTTGTAAGACATGTTAAGCAGCATATAAGAGGCGAGAGCATAATGAATATACATACCTATCAGCATGACGATGAAATGTTTAATGAAATATGTTGATGAAAATTACTTCATGAATGAAATATTGCGTTATTTACACATGAGCAACTATAAATATAAATATGTCAGCCTCAGGACCAGTCCATCGGCTACAACGAGGTGCAAATGAATGCGATCCACCGAGCAAATGATTTACCGATCTATACGACGTGAATCAGTCCTCAATAATATTTATGCGACGCTATTTCTGGTTGCACTTTTTAATGATAACACATGACCGCTGGCTGTGAAAGATGTTATTTCTCTGTTGGTGCCACTGACCTCTACTTTGCGTGTTTACTTGCACGTGCTTAGCACTAAACACCCAGGTCCCGTTATGCTCTTTGAACTGATCCTTCAGTTTACACTTATTTCATTCGCTTCACTGGCGCTAATCCTCCAGGCACGTGCTCACGTGCGAGAGAACCCAAAGTCAAGTTCACAAAGCATCAGCCCCATAGAGCCAAAGCTCCATGTCTGTAGTGTATACTGTGCACGTAACCGTGTCATACCGGCCGTCTCAAAAGCCCTCTTCGGGGTCAGTCTAGGACCACAGAGCTTCACGGACCACAATTAGATCACTCGGTGGCGTTGGCACGACAGTGGCTGGACTGAATTATAATGCATGACGGGATGCTCCACTTTGTTGACGATAGTTTAGCATGGGCTCCAAGCATACGAAACGCACAAACAGCATCTAGGGAAGACCTTAATTCTGTCTGTCATCTAGCTCTTATCATCAGCAACCATACTCAGCAGCCAGCACCAACATTGAACACGCCATCCCCGCACTGTCAGCCCCTCCTTTCCCGATCGGCACGGCCTCCGCGTCCCGCACGTGCCCCCGTACAAGGCGGCAGGACCTTCTCGGCCGGGCGAATCATGTTCTGATCCTCTCTCTCCAACTGTCTAGACGCCAGCTATAGATAATTCGACTCAACATCAGCTCTAGGCCAGAGCAGCGCAGAACAGACGGAGGCGACCGAGGATTGACGGCACGTGGAAAAGCCGACCCGCGAGCACATGCAAGGCTGGATTCGTGTGTCGGCGGCTCGACTCATGGCAGTCGGACGGTAAAGGTATTAGATCACGACAGCACGTGCTGAAAGATTATAATCACATGACACGGTAGATAAGGCTGAATACCGGAAACAGCTCCAAAAATCCCGTTCAGGGTCCTATTACTATTGCTAATCCCGAATGCACATCATAACATGGCATTGAGACGGCAACTCGCCGAGTGAAAGATTGTTTTGCGGAACGAAGTTGACACTAAACGCTTAGATCTTACCTTTCTGGGAAGTTAATCCTCTTCTGCAGCCCACACTTCACGCAAAGTTAACCGGAGCACTTCCAGCAGATTGGAGAAGTCGGTATTCGTAGAATTTCCAGAGTGGCCAAATCGTCACCGCGTCACGTCTTTCGGTTCGGTTACGAGTTTACAGAACACAGTTGCTGTTCCGTTATGTTTACTACAGCTTTCCACAGTTTGTTGTCCACCTCACGAGTCGCACACCGTGCCAGTTCCACTTTCAGTTCGAGCTCACTTCACAATCCACCCGTGTCCACCGTTTACTTTAGCACTATCTCACAGCAGTCTCTCGACTCAGTCCGTTCGCTCAGCCCTTGCTGTGCACGTGCGGAACAGCGCCTTTCGTGGAATTCTCTCTCTGTTCGTGATCGATGATACTTGCTGCGGTCAGCTAACTGACAAACACCGCAGTCCTGACGAATTAGCGACGTCCGTAGTCTTCCTGACAACGATCAGTAGCAGCCTGGCAGCCTGGGAACACAAGAGGACGGACGTTAGCGCACAAAAATACATCACTCGAATACGAAGGCAATAAACGGAAGTTACTGTCATCGCTTGTGAGTGTACTTAGCTTGAAAAGCACCAGGAACATATAAAACTGCGTCAGAAGCATGTTCCTGTTCGATGTGTCATAGAAGTTGACACGTTGCAGTCTGTGCATGGTGCCAGTGTTGTACTCAAGGTAAATACCAGGGATGCGGAGCCGTGGAAATTTCAGACGGCTCCGACTCCGGCTCCGGCTCCGGAGAAAAAATCGGCTCCGGCTCCGGCTCCGGCTCCGGGTGAAATGTCATGGCGGCTCCGGCTCCGGCTCCGGCTCCGAGTAAAATGATCCGGCTCCGGCGGCTCCGGCTCCGGCGGCTCCGGCTCCGGCTTCTACTAAGTACATCCCCTATGCGATCAATTAAATACGGGTGGAATAAAAAAAGGCGATGGGATTGGTGCACGTTGCTACTGTATTTGTATAACAAGGCTATTTTGAATACCACATTGTTTTACGCCTTGTAGGTGGTGGCAGCATTGCTTTGAATGCGAGGCGAGGTGTAACCGTGTATGCGAACACTGAAGGTAGAGAACACTGACCAGGACCTCGACGGTCCCTACTGTCAAACCGAACTAGGTAAATAATTGTTTCCTCTAAAGAAAAGGAGCCGGAGTCGCCCCCTTTTTTGACGGCTCCGGCTCCGGCTCCGGCTCCGGGCTACATTGTTTCACGGCTCCGGCTCCGGCTCCGGCTCCGGGCAAAATATGCCGGCTCCGGCGGCTCCGGCTCCGGCTCCGGCTCCGACTCCGCATCCCTGGTAAATACCTATTTGATCTTCCATGGACCGGACTGAGCTGTCAAACAACACGTGGCCTTCGGCTCTGCATCCGTTCTTCAGATTTCCCTAGTGCATGCAATAAAAAAATAAGTGACGGAGCCAAAATCGGCAATTTTGTAAGGCTACGTCACTATATGGACTTCTTTACCTACGAGCTGCTAAAGGGTCTAAGACCCCTTGCGAAGTTGCAGCGTGGTCGAATAGTCTCACGGCGTGCGGGTGTAGGTCTGATGAATGATAGCAATTTGCAAAATGCATGGCAGGCCACAGATACGTCATATGTGCCAGAGCCCACGATGTATGAGCACTGCGCACATGATACATATGAGACCGCTGTCAGTTGCAGCTCCCTGCGCCGTAAATACATCGAGATCGTGCTGTTTAATTTCGTTGGCAAATACGAATCGGTAGTTAGTCGTTACTGGAGATGCTATATTTCACTGCTATATAGCTGGCAAGTTGCAATTTTTCTTCCACCTTCAAGAATTTTGCGGTTGGGCATTGGCGTAGTTGATATTTTGCAAGTAACGACGGATGTCAATTAGCTTGTATATCAGTATTATCCCGGTCGTTTGAACGCCGATGCAGTAATTACAAACGGTACACACTTTTCATTTTGATAGTGACGATGCAGTTCCGCGCTGTGGATACGCTTACACGCTTGATGGCTTCTAAATGATAGCATTTACGACAATCTATAATAAAATAATTTTTCAGCCATAAACACAGGTTCGAAGCATTACAAAAGTCTGGTCCATGCTCTAAGACCAAAGCCAGATTTTCGATGCAGGTAGACTTTCTGTGAAACAGCATTACTAAGATGTCTGATGTGCAATGTTTCAGAGGAGAATGCACCATGCTAAGAAAAATAAGTCGGGTAATCCGTTGCCAACAGCTTCAATGCAATTAATCGTAAATTATGTAGCACCCCTGTTAGAGGTCATAACAGCAATGATCTAAATATGCAGCCCGGGCCCCATTACCATTTGTCCATCCTCTCCCGACGATGTTGAGAGGGTCCACTAATAGCAGCAAGTCACTTACATAGATAATTTGATTTGGGGGCGGCCGTCCATCGGGGTTACGCCGGGGGCCGCAGCTGTTGACAAAAGGTGCCGCCCGTCGCAGGATGTTATCAAACCTAATGAACCCATTGAGTCCAATCAAGCGAACAAGACGGAGCGCTGGGTAGACCATCATTCCCTGCGATCCAGTCGGCAATTACCGGCGGGGAGGGCCGGCACGCCCGTGCCGCCGCGTCCCCCACGGGCGCCACGTGCCGCACACGTGGCGAACGTGACTCGTGGCGCGCAGCCAGATGCCCGCGGGGCGTCGGCGGGCGTCCCCGGCGGCGGCGCGGGCACACCACAGTTTGCAGAGGGTCCAGCGCGCATAATCGCCGATTGTGCGCCGTGTGACGGACGACGGTCCCCGTCGGTGGCGGCGGGGACAGGACGGTGCGGTGAGGGGTGAGCCGGGGTGCACTAGAGCAGCTCCCGCAGCGGCACATGCCGCGGGGAACATGAGACGTCCGACCGACGGCCACTACCGACCGCCCTCACTATCTGCCGCTCTGCCACCGGCTCACCATTTCGCCCGCCATCAGCTCAGCCGGGATCAGACGAGCGACCATCTGCGGAAAAGACGAGCCGTCACCGGTTCCCCAGCAGTTTTTGTGCCCCCGGGGCAGAGCAGCGTTAGATCTGCCCCGCAGCCGGAACGTGGAAAGGTCAGATCGGCGAGCCCGCCTCCGCGCCCGGTCAATATGTCGATGTTGTTGCTCAGGGGTGGTGGGGAAGATGAGGTCCCCCGGGCGACGATCGGCCTTCGGTATATCGACATACCGAGATAGTCTATCACGGCAGCGATGGGGCGTCAGCCACCGCGACGATGCGATGCAGCCAGGGGCGTCGCCACGGATTTTTGAGTGGGGGGGTCGGGTTTCTAGTCTTCACCCGATGGGTAGGGGTGTTTTTTGCCACACTTCCCAGTTTTGTGCGTGCGTATGTATGTGTGCGCGTGTAACAAATCGGCGCGCAGCGCCGCGAAATTTGGTATAACCTATTAGGTAGGTATACCTACCTACATCACTTGCGTAAAAATTATCACTGGTCACTAAGGTCAGGTCGCCATGTCAAGTTCAGTTATACGGTATACCTCTATCAAATTTTCCCCTCTCGCCATTCTTGTATCTTTTCGCCCATAACTTCGAAATTTGGTACACTGTATACCTAATGTAAGGGGTTATAGGTACGTGTCAGCAATTCATGATTCTGAGGATTTACATCGATCTGGAGGCAGGTCAAATACGTGACCTCATCATTAGAAAATAATGAGAAATTAGAAAAAGCACGAATGTCTCCTGCTTTGAAAAAGTTCGTCAGAAACGCAAAATATATTTGGGGCCATGACAAATCAGCTCATCATTGCCAGGGACAGGGTGCAACTTATGGCGAGTGATGACTCGAAAGGTCATTAGTGGAAATGTCCATCGATGGCCACCAGCATTTTTTTTTCTACAATTTTTGACGAAGACGCGGTAGAGCGATGACAGCACCTGGAAGGTGTTCACTGTTCAGCTCAACAACACGGATCCATTCATATGCAGCAGGAGGTCCTTTTTCGATCAGGACATAACGTTGACCTGAGGTCGTTTTAACGTTAATTCTGAATGGTCAAATTTTAACTCATGTGACGCGTCTCAAAGAGATAGGTAAACACGGTGGTGACAAGACAACATATGTAAATACCATACAAATTCACGGAATCTTAAGTTATTGCAAAGCAAATGTTTCGGCAGAATCTGTCCAGTTAGCTGTTTGCCTTCTATGGGCAAAACATAGACCTGAGACGAAATCTGACGCGAAGCTAGCGAAAGAGCGTTGAAAGAGCTATCGAATATGCTTTCTGCTTCACTGTAGCCCTTCTATTGGTGGGTTCCCAGTCGCTAACGTTAACGTACCTATACTAAAGTAATGCTGAGGCATGCTTTCGACCCCTGATCGATCTAGAGGTTTGCGGAAAAAAAGAGCATGCTGCCCGTGACGAGAGAAAGCCGATGATACCCATTTACAAGGTTTCGGGTCATCTCAGGACTCAGGTCATCGCCAGTAAGTAGGGAAACTCGGGACCTGCCAGAACTTTGTGAATGTAAGTTGTGATGGTTTTTGGAGGTTCTGATTACGAATGTTATCTTAGTTTTGAACGAAGATGACGACTCCATGCATTTGGGATAGATCAGGTCAGGTCAGATCGACCAGTACCTACCTAATAGTGGATGACCACCACCGATTGCTTCCTAACATGTTATTTGTATAAGCAACACAACTACTTCTTAAATGTTCAGATGGGCGCCAAGTTCAAAATCAGCTCCAAAACTATCCTATACCTAAATTAAAAGCATGTTATGAAAAAGTGAACCAAGGTCATCTTTATTTGAATCAGGGATATCGATTTATTTTTAAGTAGGTGATTAACTCGAGCGCACCGGAAGCTTCGTTGCAATCGGCTCCTTTTTGCGCGACTTCTTTGCAAAAGCCCGAGAGGGTTTCATCTGACTCCCTTTCCCCCACATGTGCATTGTATGTACAGCTACTTGTGACGGTATAGCCATGGGGCTGAGGCTAGTTTGTAGTTTTGTAGTTCGGTACTGATCCGACGAATCGACTGCGACCATTTTTTTTTTTAACGATCAGACGAACGCTCGGGGCAGTTTTGGCGCGTTCAATCCTTTGAGGGATAAAAAGGTACAAGAATGGTGGCTACTTAAAAATATTGTTGTGCTGGTGTTCCCCGCCCACAGCTAATTGAACTTTAGGTAATTGGCTTATTGGCTTTAGGGAGCTCTTGAAGCGATTCTGAATCTGATGTATTTGTTGGTGTTGCTGACGCCTGCTTCACTGACATAAAAGCTAAAAAAGCATACTCAGCATCGCAAAAAGTGGGGGGGTCGACACCCCCAGTTTTCAAGAGTGGGGGGGTCACGACCCCCCCGACCCCCCCGTCGGCGACGCCCCTGGATGCAGCGGATGCCAAACTTGGAATGGCTAACCCTTGAGATTCGGCGTTATTTCATGTAATATTTGATGACCAGACACTCAAATCTGTCTTCGAATGTTGAACGAAAAATGATAGCAGTTTGGACACGAA